TGATTTATGACCAGATACATGCAGAATAATAATCCTTCCATGTTTAACATTCGCTCCTCACCCTGACTCTCGCTTTTTTTTTTTTTTCCTCCCTTCCCTGATGTGTTCTTCGTTTTTCGTCCGCCCCACCTGTTCTCTCTCAGGTCCATCAGGCCGGGTTAACCTGCGACACTGTTGAGCTGCCTCACCACATCAGCACTGAGGAAGAGATCGACAGACTCATCACAGCTGTACATCTGTTTCTGACTCCTCTGCCCAGACCTACACTGGTCACTGTGTCCAGGTAAATGACACAATACACAAGCGAGAGTTGGAATTTGTTTAATCAAGCCGGTCTCGGAAAGAGCGGTAGTTCAGGAAGCAAGGTTGAATGTGCTTGTTTATGTGTGTGTCTGTGTTTGTGTTTTCAGGTCCAGTCTAGATGAATACTGCCCAGTAGAGCAGGTGGATTCAGTCCAGAGCAGAATGTTGGCTGTACTGGAGGCACTGTATGGTCCATTGGACTTACACAAAGACTACAAACACAGCAGCACAGAGGCTCCCGACTGCCAACCACACGGCTCTTAACAAACACACACACACGTGTCACTCTCAGATGTTGTCGACGTTTGTTTGATAAAGACAATCGCGTGAAAAATGACACATCAGATGCTGCCGCACTGAGTCGTACCTGTTTTTATGTGTTGTGTCCCATAGGTGTCACTTTGAGGCACTTTGTCATGAGTATGACATGTAGCATTATTTGAAGTGGCCAGAGAAGTTTATCATCCTGGAGTTAGTTTTTGCAGAAGTTTAAGTTGTGTGCACAGAAAACAACAGATGACTGTGAAAACACAAACGATAACTGTTCATATTCAGTTTTCTCCTCACAGTAAACAAATCCCACGTGCAGACCAAAAGCAACCCTGATCGTTCCTACTAACAAGTACTGTGCGTGTATCAAAGCCTGTTTCATGTTATTCCTCTGTGCCATAGAGCTTCCCTGTTGTGTAAAACATCAGTGAGCGACAGTGTTGCACTGGGTAACATCTTTCATCACTGTGAACACACATACTGTAGTTTATTTTGACACAATCCCACACACACTGTCCTGCTGTTGGAAACACTAGCAGCAAACATGTATTCATCTGCCACTGAGAATAGTGTCCAGCAGATGCTCCATTTCCTCCGTCTGAGTAAAGTTTGCTAAAAACTGCAGAGCCAGCTGTTACAGGAAATTACTGAAAAACGTTTGTGTGTTGGTTGCGTTTTTGGACGGACTGTGGAGAAATCCGACAATATAATTGTCTTCATGAGATTTGTGATCAGAACAAGGCAGAATGTTTTAATATGTGCTGCAATAGTCTGATTAACGGTTGTTGCGTTATAGTTTTTTTTCCTGCGTTTGCACTGGTATGGTACAACAGCACAAGCCATGCAGTGTGTGCATCTTTCAAATTTCCAAATATTTTTGAGTTTTGGAAATTGTCATATTTGTGATACCTCTGTCTATAACAGTAACGTCTGTGCAGTTTCTAACTGTATTAAATGAATTTGAACATGGTCCACTGTGATCCTCCTTGTTTTCTTTCACTGAAGCCATACCGATACTCTCCCTGTCCTGCGTCTTGTTGTGCAAATGTAAAAACAACGATGAGATTCTCCAAAGTAGCTGCGTAAACCAGAATTTGATTCTTCACTTATCGTTATAGGATGTGAGAAGTGATGGGTTAGAAAACGCGCCGTTCTCAATCCTCATTTAACCTTCTCTAAACTGACACCAGATGTGTGAAGTATTTAAGGCAGAGTTTTCCGTGAAGAAATTCCTCAGCTGGCTTTAATATCTCAGGCCCCAACTTCAGCTGCAGCATAGTAAAGCACCCCAGCTCTGCCTCATGAGACTGAGGAGTTACCATTCCCACAAGAAGTCCAATTAATGAAAGGTGTTTTTCACTGGAGAGAAGTGTCCACTCAGAATTAAATGATTTGGCCAAATAAATGTAAATCAATTAATTCAGTGTTGAGTGGACTTGTTTAACAATTTGATGTGACCAGTAAATCTACAATTTGTTATTATGCTCATGATAAGAGAGTGTTGATATTCATAATTGTATAAATCAAACAATAGAGGCCCCGATACAGATCATTTTATCCACCCAGTTTTTATAGTGTTGGTTTTATATTGTTCTAGCCATTCATGGATGTGCTGTTAGAATGGGTGACCTAAGTAGAGGAAGATATACTGGGATGCTGTGGGAGACATCTTCACACTTGGGGGTGACAGTTGCTCATGTTACTCTGTTAGTGTTTGGATGTTGTTCCACCTTCTGGTCTCCTTGATGCATCAAGTCTACATTAAAATCTTCTGCCTAAGACATCAACTGCAGCCTGAGTTCTCCTTTCACCAGCTTCCAGAAAACTTCCATAACAGTATACAGTGTGAGGCTTCATCAAAGATTTAAGATTATTGTCTTTCCAATGAGGCAGCAGTTATTGTTCTTACAAAGTATGTTATTATGTTGTGTGAAATCACTTAGTAGAACGTTCTGTTCACTATATTTTCTCTGATAATGTAGTGGAGGATTTTTCAACATTGGCTTAGTGTTAACCTGAGTATGATATCTCCATTCTTTCTTCTGGTGTGGTTAGAAAACATTTTAAGGATTAGATTAGAAAGGTACAATATGATGATCTAATGTGTAAAACAGAAGTCAAAATTGCAAAACATTTCGTAGACCCCCTGAATTCACCCTCGTTAATAATGTATCCACTACAGAGCCCTTTATTTATAACAGGTCATTTACTGTAAAATGTCCCACAGTAAAAAGTTGGTAACAATTATTTTTGTATTAAGGGAATCTCCATCAATCTCTATGTGTTTAATCTATCTATAGTGATACATTTTGTAAAGCTCTCAGTCGTTGATATACTGGCCTCAGAAATCCAGTCGTGGTCAGTCTCTACTCAGTGACCACTTAAAACACATGAGTCTTTGAAACAGGAAAGTCATATTTTAGTGCTGTCCCTGACGCAGTTTAGCAGGAGTAACATATTAATGCTGCCTGTTTCACACCGAGGTCCACCAAGAGCAGAAGTGAGACAGTGGGAAAGTGTGTGTGAACAGGAATGTAATTCGAACCAATAACAAGTGCAGGGTCAGTGCTATAAACACATCTACGCTGGAGAAGTTCAGACTAATCTAATCTAATTTAAATATTGAGCTGTTGAGGAAAAAAATCTGTTGTTTTAATTAAAAACAATATGTTGGGAATGTAACTATGTCATGTCTGTAATTGATCATTACCAAAGCTATTTCTGGAGACTGCTCTTTGTCAAAGCAGAAGAAAGCCTGATGGGACTGATGACTGCACTGCATCTCGTAAATTCTGTTTTGTTTTTGTATTTTAAAGCTTTCTGATGGAGTATCAAGGCAGCAGATGGAAAATGCTTTGAGCAGACATAAGTTATGATCAAAGTGTGTCATGTTGACTAGAGCAGTTTTGTGTGAATGCAAGAATGCTCTTGACATGGAGGCACTGATGGTTTGGCTGCTCCTTTGAATTTTCGGAGTAAATTAAAGGAAATTGTGCAGGTCCATATGGAGGCTTGAGGCTGCACTAGCCAATATTATTATATTAACAATAATCAAATGTTAGAAAAGTCCACAGTTCCCCTCAGCTCTGTGGAGCAGTTCAGCTTCTTTCAGCTCTCTGTTGGTCATTTGGCCTCAGATCAACCCTTTTTGCAGCAGCAGCATTTTTCCAAAAAGAATCTCCTGATCACTGTAGTGCAAACAACTCACCCAACATCACACAGCAGACAGACAGATGTTCGCTACTATAGCTGGTGAACATAACAGCATTTAGCCGCTAATCACTCATACTAGTGCTAAAAGCAGCGCACACATTGTATTTGAAAAAAATCATTCATGTCTTGGAGAGAGATAAAAAACAGTGCCATTACTAAGAGAGAGTGTTTTCATTTAATACCATATCTGCCTTGTGAAAAAACGGACCCCTATAAGCAATAGAAAAGGCATCAGGCAACATGTCGTCTCCTTGGGACAACAGAGAGAGAACGAAAGGAGGTCACATAAATAAAAGTCATGCAGTCCTCATCACTATCACTCTGGTGTTTTTCCCATTAGTTCCAGCCTGTGGGTGACAATCCTGCTTGGATTTCCCTAAAACTAAAAGGGATGACGTCTCTATCCAGACCAAGTCCTTGCTTGAAAATAATTTACCACGTACTGCTGTGAATCAGGAGGGAGAATAGATTGTCCACTAATTAGATGCTTGGAGTTCATTCCCTGTCTCCCCCATTCTACACTGAACACCGAAATGCCACCGAGGGCTGTGCCCGGACGACAGTGTGTGATGTAAAGAGTTTTAAGTGGTCATCAAGACTAGAAACCTGCCACATAAATACAGACCATACCATTACTATGCTGGATTTCACCAATGCACCATTTCTCTGTTATTTGTTCAATATTGAAGCTCCTATAAAGCCCCATGTAGCCTTCACAGGCTCAGGAGTAATAGTACCCATGATGTGTCAGATCAATAGTGCATCCTTGCAGTATTTGTCGTTTTTTAAATGATACAATAATGTCAGCAATGTTGACTGAATGTGTACTTGTACAGCTTGCATGTCCGGCAGTTCATTATAGAAAAAGTACACAAAACAGCAACCAAGAGTCCATGGCTGGAAAACATAGATCCTATTATCATGAAGTATTTTCAGTACTGAGAAGTAGTTCAAGTAGTGTTAGATCCAGTGATCTAACACTTCAGCATCGGTGTACAGTCAGTGTTTGACACCTCACCAGTGTTTAAGTCGCTTCTCAACATAAACAAACAACTCAGTACTTCTCAGGTCACACTGTGGAGCACCACGGGAGATTTTACAGCACGTGTTTGCAAACACGAAAGTACAAACAAGTACTTTCACAAATGTCCTCCTGGAGGCGCCGTTACGTGTCCGATACTTCTGCATCAGAACCACAGACAGTATATTAAGAAGGATCAGAGCCCAGAACGTCCTCAGCAGTGCTCCTCCACGTGTCTCCTCCGATCACAGTCTGGAGAAACAACCGTGGAAACAAAGGCAAGAGTTGAACTGTTGTCAGAACACACGCTCTCCGCCTGGGGGCGTTCACACAGAGCACGTGAACGCATCGTCCGGTCAACGTGCGTGTCGGTGCTGCTCCGCCCTCACAGACGCTGACAGCGAGGACTCCACACAGTCTGCGGAACAGACGCAGCCACAGACGCAGTCACCATGAAGCAGGTCAGCCTGTCCAGGATCTTCGTCATTATCGTGTGCGCGCTGGTTTTCGTCGCGGTTTTGGTCGTGAACGCTTTGGCCGGCGCGGGGAAAGGTGAGTTCAGGGTTCTTCACTCACAGTCTGCAGGGTTGACTTCTCTGCTGTGTGTCACTACAATAGTTAGAAACGTGTTGGATGAGTCCCCTCGTCCATCACTGAGGTTTCCTGTGAGTGAGTGATGCTCTGCTGCAGATCGTTATGTCACAGCCATTGTTGCTCAAAACAAAGACGAGCTCTCTCCAGGACTGTCCACATGGACGTTAGCATGTTAGAGGCAGGTTACACCAACACAGTTACACAATCTGTTTGGTTTTCGAGCTGACGCGACAACTTCCACACACAGACGAACCTGTTTTCTCACTTCCCTCTGACTACCAGTGTTTACCAACCACTGGATCCAAACAGTGGATCCAAACACTGCCTGCAGTTTGTCCTGCTATGTCCACAACGTGTCAGATCCATACACAGCAGCACTGTTCAACAGAAACCACTGGGAGTCCTAATGAAAACTGCTTTAAACCACATGGTTCCAGTGGTCAGCAGTGGTTCTGTTGTCTCCACATCCTCTGGTGATCTTTGACAGGAGGAAACAAACCCATCTAAAAAGAAATTGTAAATAGTCTTCATAGGGTGTGGCTCAAAAATCTGTTTCCAAACTCCACATTGACTCATTCCCCTCGGTGTCTCCGCTCTGCTCAACCCACTGCTGTGTTATTTCATTCTCTTCTTTTACGACCCCATTTTTGTCGAAAGTCTTTATTCTCTGACATTAGTGTTTTTTTCCTGCCACATCGTCCCCACGGTTCAGATGAGTTATTTCCTGTAGGAACTGTGGACATGGTAATAGTTTCCTAATGTGCAAGTAAACAGTGGTGGAATGTAACTAAATACATTTACTCAAGTACAAATAGACATGTACAATTTTTTAAACTTGCTTTTCAAATGTTTTCCATTGAATGTTTTACTCTAAACATCTACTCCACTGCTTCTTGAGTTGCACATATTATATTACCATCTTCCATAAATCGTTTCAGAATAAGACTTTTTAAAAAGTTTCTAAAATTTGATTTGATTAGATTTAACTTCCCTGTCTTCTTTATTTGTTGCATATTTGTACAAAACGGTTCTTCCCTTCCCACATTATTCATCTCACCCTTCCTCTGTGACTCATCGGTTGGGAACCTCTAGATTAACCATATAATTACACATGAATGTTAACTTTGATACTTTAAACACATTTTCCATCATACTTCTCTCCTTATTCTGCTGTATGGTTTTGAATTAAGGCCTTTTACTTGTAATAAAAAGTGTCTTTATAGTTTTATATCTTTACTTTTACTCCATTAAAAGATCTGTTTACTGCTTCGGAATTCGTTCTCAGTCGGGAGTACTGTTTCTGGGAGGAAGTTTCCCTGGTACATGGTGTCTTGGGACCACAGTAATGTTCTGGTTTCTTAATTTGTGCTCACAAATGAAGAGGGTTTGTTTTTCTCCTTATACTTGCCGTTCTCTGTAACAGTGATAAAATAATGTTGTTGATTTGACTTTTCATTCACTGATGAGCATCAGTGTAGATGAAGCTTAGAGTTCAGAATGAAAGAGGCCATGGATACACCCTGATGTACAGTATGTTCATGTTGGGCTCTTCAATCCTGCAGAAATAGTTTTCTTCCTTAAACGACACATCAAACTTTTTTGTTTGTGCAAGGCTCTTTGTCCTATTAAAAATCTTAATATAACGGTGTATGTGATGTTTTAAACCACAGTGTGCCTGACACCTTGAAGCAGCAGTTGGTTTTGTTCTTTTCTGTGTCAACATGACAAACAGCTGGCCTCATGAAGAATCAGTGTTCCCAGTTTAGTGGCCAAAACGTATGGAGATGCACTGGTCTGATACTGAGTCAAGCATCTGATGGGTACTGTGATAATAACACAAATCTATTCAATCCATTTATTCTTATTGATTAAATCTCTGACAGTTTGACAGTATCTACTTTATTCCAACAGCTGTTAGTCACTAGCTTAGTGTTAGTTTACAGGATGAGTCCATGGTGAAGAGACAGGTATGTTTATATGGGCAGCAATCCTATGACTATTATCTTACTCGGGTTAATATCAGAATATGGTGTCCATGTAAATGTTTGTTGTCACAAAGACACTGGCACCAGTGTAACACTGGTCACTCTGTCTCAGTTTTAAACTTATCATGTCCACGTAACTTGGTCTATTGAGGTCCCCATCAACAGTTGGACAACTGAACACTGCATCATATCGACACACCAGTCTTAACATCACAAGCATTATAGACATGGTGCACCCTTTTTTAACCCAACATAATTCATGTGATTTACAAATTCCCACAGCATCCCCATATATCTTCCTCCACTTGCGTCACCCATTCTCACAGCACATCCATGAATGGCTAGAATTGTAGGTGTTCACATCCTGTTGGATTGTTAACTCGAAATATGCAACGAAACCACATTGTGTCCTTTACGTCTTGTCACAGGTGAGATACACAGAAGAGTTGAAGTTCGTGCCTCCCTGTCTGGAGCATCTGAGTTAGATATGAAAGTGTAGACGCTTCAATGTACTGTCTGTTGGTCCTGTATCTATAACCTGACCTTGTGCACTGCTTAGAGAGAGAAGGGAGTAACTGTGGAATTAGCCAGGCACTCTGATGTACTACTGATGTACAAGTATAATGTAATATACACTATATATACATAATACAGTATATAGTGGCACATACAGTGATGTGTGAGGATAGTCAAAAAATACTCAACAGTTACCTCAAACAACAATAGAGCATTAGCTTTTTTAAATAAATGTCTCAATGTCTGTGGTCGGAGGTCAGACCAAGGATTTAGGGTTGGTGAATGAACGGTACTAAAACAAAATGATCCTCCAAACATCTGAATGTCTTTTTTTTTTTTTTCAAAATAGGCAGGCGAAAGTTTTCCCTACAGGAGAGAGTGGAAACAGTACCGCTTTTGTCCACAGGGGCGCCAAAATCAAGGAAAATGAAAAGTTCCTTGTAGGGGCTTGTAAAACTGAAAGAAAAGAACCTGCATGGCTGCACAGAGCTGTGACCTCATCCCTCTCCAGCGTGTTCTGGATGAACTGGAGCAGCAGTGGTGAATATTATCAGACGACATTAGTGTTCTCTCTAACGCTCGTTACTGTTTTCCAGGATTTTTCCATTCCAGTACTGGTAACGTGTCAGCCCGCTATGAGACAGACATCACTCCAGCCGGCTGGACCTTCTCCATCTGGGGGGTTATCTATACCTGGCTCACCCTCATGGTCATATACATCACCTGCTATGTTTTCAGAGGGTAAGCTCACATCAAGTCACACTGAGTATTTACTCATGTTCACTGTGATAAGAGCCGTCACTCAGAGCAACGTGCAGATGAAACTGAGCTTGCTCTTTCTGTTAATAGATCCTGGGCTCAGTGCCTGCTGCCCTGTGCCTTCTATTTCTGTTGGCTGTCCAACATGGTGATGAATGTGACATGGCTGGTGCTGTGGGACAGAGAGTAAGTCTACTGTTTCTACTCGTATGAGACTGACAGGGGCCATAATAATAACAATACACATTTTCAGTATAAAATCATTATCATGTCATCATTAATGCTAATTAAACTGTTTCTTTTTCTTGTTCTTACAAACACAATTTATCTGACTGACTGTAACAAGAAGTTAGAATTAACTCCAGGTGACCTATATACTGCTGATATGATGCATTCATGGCTCCTCTCTCTGTTTCTCTCTCTGTCCTGCAGGCTGATGCTGGCGTCTCTGGTTATTTTAATCCTGATTGCGATATCCAACTTCAGCGCCTTGTTCTTCTGTTGCTTTGCCACAGATTATTATGGAATCTGGTTGCAGACATACCATCGCAAAGACCTGGCCTGTCTCTACATACTGGTACACACAAATGTGGCTTGAATTCTGATTAGAGTTCTTCACGAGTCCAAAAATGTATGCCCGAACCTGAATAGACCCGGAAATGTTCTATGGGAAACCGACCTGGACCCAACTATCATTTGAAAGCTGGGACCTGGACCTGTGCAGAACCAAAAAAAACTCTAACCTGGCCAAGAGACACCGAATCCACTCTGTGAATTAACGTTAACTTGTTAAAGCAATCAGAGTCTCAAAACCAAACTTGTGTCTTAGATAATGTTAACAGCCTCCTCCTCTGTGCCTGGCTGTGATACATAGAATATATCCTATAAGAACGTTTCATAAAATACATCCAGGCTTTTCTGTTATCGCCCTCTTGCTGATTGAAATGGCAAATTTAATCCTCGTAATTTCAGATTTAAAAGTCAATTTATTGTCACTGTGACGAACGCGACTCATTTACAATCAGCTTTGCAGTTTTGATGCATGATAATAAAAATAGCTCGGCATTGACCTAATGTTAAACAGAGCCGGCTGACTGTATAAAACATGGATGTAGGGGGTCGGGTGGGGTCCTACAGTATTCTGGTGAAGACCTCTAATTCAGGTAGTCTGTCTGCTGTGTATATATATTCCCTTTGTGCTCATCAGTGTTGATATGTTCAGGTCCAGAATGGTTTGGCTCTGTACACCACGTGGACGTCCATCGCCTCTCTGATCAACTTCTCATTGGTCCTCCACCTGTGGGGTCTGGACAGGAATACAGCAGCCACCGCCTCGCTGTGCATCCTGTTGGGAGAGGTGGCACTTTGGTAAACTCTCTTTGAGTATGGATCCTTCACATAGATTGTTCTTATGTAGATGCTGGACATTAAGAAAAGGTCTGTCTGTGTGCAGGTTCATCCTTGAGAACTGGGTGCTGGACCGCTGGGTGCGGAACATCCTGACAGTGTACCCTGTGGTGATTGTGGCGCTGGTCGGAAACGTCTACAAACATTTTAACCCGGCCGATCCCACTCCAAATTCTGTCTTCATGGGTGAGTTGAACTTAAGCATCAAGATTTATTCACTTTTCATTCATTCTGGCAGATTTTAACCAGCTCTCTTTTCCCACGTGTGTCCAGAGTAAACAGATTACATTCAAACAGGGCAAAACATTAAATCCTTATCCACACCCACCCTATCACTGTAAGATGTCTGTAATTTGCTTCGAAACATTACTAGAAGGGTGCTGGGAGAGCACAGACCTCTGCAAAGGCTTAACCCCGGGTCACACTCGCTGTGTAGCATGTATTCATTGTGAACTCAAGCTGCACTTCATTCACAGTAAAATAGACAGTGAAAATGATCTTTCACCACAGTTTCAATTGTCAATCTGTTGAATATGTCCCAAACGTAAATATTTGCAACCTGTACTCAGCCTGCTTTGATTGAAAGTAGTTTTTGCGTAATCCTATTGTCGGACAGACATGTAGCACATTTCCTTTTTATGCTGGAGGATAACTTGAGTTCTTGTGTCCCGTCAGTTGTACTGCTGGTGTTGGCGTGTGTCCTGCTGGTGTCCCGAGTCTGCACAGTCATCTGGAAGAACAGGTGGAGGCCTCTCCACTCCCCAGGCTCAGCACGGGTGATGGTGTCACCTCTCGACAGCAGAAAATTCAGGATCTTCTCTTAAAACAGAAGGATCTGTCCCCCTGCAGGCCCTCAACTCTCACACACTGACTTTATATTCACATAAGCCACTGCAGAGTTCATCGAGTCATAGAGTTATAATGAGAAGACAGGAAACCCTCTGATTTTGTCTGCTCTCAAACAGCTGTGCTTTCATATCTTAAACACTTTAAAATACTAACAACCTACTTTAACTGTTTACCACTTACATTCTTATTGTTCATATGTAAAGTTGTTTTTACTGAATGACTTAATTATCATGTTTGTATTTTTTGAAGGCAGTCTTATTTGTGCATCAATGGCTTTTGAATTTTGTATCTACACAGTGGCTGTCAATGTGTTTACCTTTTGACGATATGATTTGTCTAAGAAGACGCTTTGAATTCAGTCTGATTAGCTAAGTAAGACCCTGTTATTTTATAGAACAGAGGACAGGCCTGATATAACAGAAAATGTCTCCCTCTTACTCATTGTATGCCTTTTATTATTCAGCTTCTGCCATGTGCAGTAAGTGCTCTTCATTCAGACAGATTAGGAACTGCCTCTTGGTTCTTCAAACAGCTTAGCACTTTATTTTCTTATCTTTTTTTCTTTGTCTTGCTGTTTTCTTTGTTGTTTATCATATACCATGGATTTTACTCTGAAGTGTGTGCATTGTACCCACGCTATTGATATCTTTAGCTGTCTAAAAGTGTTCATGTTCCCTGTTTTTGTGTTGTTATGCTGCAAATAATGTTTCCCCATGAGGGAAAATAAAGCTTATTAACAACAATGATTATTGAAATCTGCTAAGAAAATGTTTCACGAAGAAGAGTGAGAGACCAATTATTTGTTCCACAGCACAAGAGAGTGTACTGCAAGCCTGATCTTATGATCTACTGACTCATGCCTGAGTGTTGATTTAACTTAGAGCAGTTATATGGACTTCTATCAAAACGTACCTTTAAAATTTAACTTCGACCTTAACTAGCGGATTAACACCTTGAGATTGTAAACCTGTGAGTTCTAAACAGACTGCAGCAGTGCGAGGATTCTTCTTCACACTGAGTCTGTTTCAGAGACGCTGCATGAAAACAGGATCCCTGCCCTGTGATCCATGGACACTCCTGGTCTACAAGACACTAACTGTTTCTCTTTTCAGGACCCAGCACCATCTGTGTGGGAGACAACAATATAGTTCTATCGATTTGATTTCATAGCTGTTAGTGAACCTGTTGTGAAAACTCAGCTGTGGTCTTCAGCTTTGCTGGTGGATTAGACAGTACAACATTCTCTCTGGTTTCTGTTGGTACGATCTTTCTAGTTGATTTGTCGATGGACACAGCCGCCATGGTGTCTCCCGCGTGTTGAGGATGGAGACGGGTACCGGGCGAATCTCTAGCAAGGGGAACGAGTAATGATGAAAGAAATGCCTGTGATTCATTGTGGGTGAGAGCTGCTCCGGTTCAGTGTGTGTCTTCCTCAGCTCAGTGATCCCAAACCTCATCTTGTTTCCTTCCAGCATCTGATCTGCTGGTAAGGGTATGGAGGGCCACGAGTGTCAGTAAGTATTAAGTGCCTCATTAATGAATTATTAAGCACACAATTAAAAGTTAACTGCAATACATTTGTTTGCAAATTAAATACATTATTATTATTGTGATATCTTAATGGGCAATGAGAAATCATTATAAAAATAATTTAAAAGATTTAATTAATCCATCAAATCTAATTAAAAGAGGGATTTACAGCAACAACAGAAAACATCATTTAAGAACTCATAAATAATGTTTCAAATAAACAAAAGACAATTAACTGGACTCATAAATAGAACTGGGAGTGAGGAGCAAGTAATGATAGCTACAATACAACTAATGATATACAGTTGAATAGAGCCATTAAATGTGTTTTCTTCAAATCCTGCAACAGTTTGATCTGTTTGACTTATCTATGATCAGCTCATTAGCATCGTCATGGCAACCACCCTTGCTCAACACGTACACACACACACACACACACGCTGTGGCCACCATAAACAATTATGAGTCAAGGCTTTCGTAAAAGACCAAGAGACAAGTAATGTTCAGTGAACTGACTCAGTGAGGTCAGTTACACAGCAGTCTGCTGTCATACTGCAACCAAACCCTGTATGGAACTGACCACACGTCTGTTTTATTGACAATGAACCCAACTGTTGATTTATCAGACTCAATTATAACCAGAACTAATATATATATATATATATATATCGTTCCTGTTTTACATGTTATATTCCCTAAATGTACATATTAGCATGTTTTCTACTCAATGTCCTCTCAGTTAATTCTGTTGAGTTAATAATGAGTTTTTTGGGGCTAATAAGTTCACAGGACTTAGGACATGGACTTTTACTCAGTTATGTGAACATTAATTTAGATCATGTTACTAACCAAAGCATTTTTGGTTGTGCATCATTTGATTTGGGCACAAAATCATTTTTTGTTCCAGTGCCCCTGATCATACTTCATCAAGTGCAACATGCAGGCAAATGTACAAGAATGAAACAGCAGTGATGTCAGAGGTTTCAACAGATAAGAGAATAGAGAAAGGTCCATGAAAAAGAAGGTGTCATGCAGATGTAGTTCAACTGAAATGAAAGCGTTGGCAGGAAACTGTCAACAGCTCGTGTTCCTTCTGACCGGCTGCAGCATTTCTAACTACATTCTGTGGTGGAGCAAACCAAATGTTGTTATTGTCTCATGTAGAGGCTGAGCGAATCTGGTCCGATTGAATTAACATGTTCTAAATGTGAGCTTCATCATGTGTTTTGCATTTGTTCTGGGCTGAAATTGAATTTTAAAATGAACTTTGCCAAGGCCTTGAAGTCAAGAAGTGTGTGTTATTGTGTCAAGCACAATACAACACAATGACACCACAAACAGCATTTACTCATTTACAATGTCAGTGTACTGACACATAGACTGTCTCTTTAATGTGGAGCCCTTTGCTCGCTGATGTGATTTAACATCTTTGTTGCTGCTAGTTATTTTGTGTGCTTTGCTTTCCTGCCCTCCAGTGGTCATAGCTACTTAATGCAAGTGTCTTAACATTTCTATTGCCTGTATAAGTCTGTTATTATGAGCACAGGTATCTTTGATTTGGCTTTATCCTACACTTTCTGGCATGTTTGTGCATTATGGAAATTATGTATTATGTTTGCAGTACAGGTATATGTCTTAAATATCTTAATAGACCAAAATATGGTTCAAATCCACATGATGTAAGATTTATACCCAAATGAAGAAGTACAGCAGTGACTTTGTGCTCTGTATGAATTATGTAGTTAGTTACTAAATGAATAAATCACCACACATTCAAAATAAATCCTCCAACAGAACAGAGGGAAGAATCAGTTACTGCACCACTGAGATAACTTGAAGATAACCTGGAGCTTTAGGGGTCAGGTTCAGTCAGACTGAATTCAGAGCGTCTTCTTAGTCCAAATGAAAAACCGGTTGTGATGGATGGCTCAAACGCAGGGAAATAACCTGGGAGGCCAGCAGTCAATCATCTCGCCGCAAAATTATATTTCATAAAAATGTAAAACTTGGAAAATTACCCAAAGATTTCTCCCCCTCATTTTAATGAGAAATGAATGGGATTATAACCTTCACCCCAGATTTCCCTTCTCCCCCAGCTGAACTGCAACGTTTTAAAATGTAGTTGTGTGGATGTTGCTGGATTTCTGACAGTTACAGTATCTATTCAGTTAGTAGCTCTCAGTTTAAAAGTAGAGTGGCTGCAATGTTTGACATTTTTGGGATATTGTGAAAATGATCATTTTAAGATTTAAAATCCATCATCTACATTTCTCTCATTCTCTAAAGGAGTATCATTGTATTGAGTTGTTGTGCTAGGAAGAGAGGATGCATTTAAAAGTAATATTTGTTTATAATCAATAAAATCTGAGGACATAGAAAACAACAGATGTAGAGGAAGATGGCTGATGGAGGATTTTGTCCCAAACCACTGATAAATGTTAAAATTGATAATTTGATTTTTCTGTATGTGTTCCTATCTTAGATTGTACCGATTCTTGAACAACACTCACAGTTACCTTGAAGAGGAAACTAGTACTAACTGAGTACTTCATAACCACTACACGCTCCACACCAGTAGGTGGCGGCATGACAGGAGTACCCCGAAGCCGAAGAAGAACAGGCAGAGCAGGAAGTGAAGAAGCGGTAGGTGAACACCGGACAGCTCAGCTGCGAACATCTGCTGTCCCGAACCCTTGTTTCTCTCCGAACACCGCATCGTACTGCCGCCACCATGTCCAAGAGTTCCGTGTCAGACCGCTTCAGGAAAGTGGACGTGGATGAATACGACGAGAACAAGTTTGTGGACGAGGAGGACGGAGGAGAGAACCAGGGCGGTCCGGACGAAGCAGAAGTGGACGGTCTGCTCCGACAATATCCTTCTGTGAGACGTGTTGTTGTGCATGAAGCGTGTCTGCGATCAGGCTCCTCTCTCCTCCTCTCTCCTCCTCTCTCCTCCTCGCAGTCTGAGGAGCTGCTGGCGTCGAGCAGCGAGCTGGCGGCCCTGAGGAGGCCCCAGCAGGGACCGGGTCACTCCTGTGTATTTCTACCTGCTCTGATCCTTCAGAGGGACATCGACCATGTCCGCTGGAGTACAGCTGGAGTACAGTGAGTCTGTTGGATGAGCCCTGTGCAGGCAGCAGCACATTTCCGCGTTGAGCGTGGTTTCCGGGTGTGAGCTGACAGGAGGAGGGTGTGGTCGCTCTCAAAGATGTCGTCAGTGTAGTGAGAGCGTTGTACTCGGAGTAGGTTGTACTACACAGTGTGTACTGACCTGTGTACTACTGCCAACTGTTACCATGGTGATTACACATCAGCCCAATCAGTAAAGTCACTCAATTCTAATGTGTTCAATTAATATTAATATTTACTATAATGTACTGGTTCGATACTACACTAATACTCATACTTTACTATACTATATAATTTATAATATACTATACTTCACAGTAGTGGTACTTAACAACATTTTTAATGGTACTGCCCTATACTGTAAATATATTATTCTATACTACTGTACTATAACTATAGTATGAATATATTATGATGGTTACTTTTTTATAACTATACTGTACAATAACTGCACTATACTATTCTAGCATGTATTATTACTGTACTATAATTATATTACACTAAAACTATACACCTTGATAACTATACTATAGTGTACTATCCTTTTCTACACTATACTGCTCTATAACTATACTATAACTACTGTGTTGTACTTTCATTTAACTAGATTAATCTGCTCTATACTAAACTAAAACAGTTTGATAACTATACGATAGTCTACTATACTATACTATATTGTATAGTAATACAACTCTATTATTTTGTACTGTATTACACTAAGATTAGATAAGATTAGCTTTTATAAGTGCCACTATGGGGGGGATTTGCTGTGTTACCTAAGTAAAGTAAACATAAACATGAGGAAATATGAGAAGTAGAAATAATAAAATATATATATATATTGTTCGATCGTGATATATCAGGTGCTTGTGGTTTATTGGTGAACAGGGCAGATTGTACTTCAGCAGGAAGGAACCACGTACCCTATCTCTCCTTCAGCACTTTGGGATGATCGGTCTGTGACAGAGGAAGTTCTCAGTGCCGCTCTCCTCTGTCCCCTCACCACTGAGTCGATCAGTAATCCCAGGACCGAGCTCGCCCTCCTCTCCGGTCTCTACCCGTTCACTGTCGAGATAGTCGACAAATGT